TACTGCTCGCGCGCGCACGCGCGCGCACAACGCCGATGTGGGGTCGTGTCTCTCTAACGTAAACCCGCAGGTATTTCGTATAAATTCACGAATAGATCTGCCGTCGTGTTGCATTTAAATTCAAGCGCTCCGCTTTTCTTCCGACAAAAAAATTTGCATCCACCGATGTAATGCGTTCGATCGCGCCCGTTCGACGTGCGCGACGACCCGCGGGAGCGTTCGCCACGAGACTGCGGATCGGCGAAAAACATTTTTCGACGAGGATTTATGCATTCGTATAAGAAAATCGCGCAAACAACGTATATATGAAGAATGACGATAAACGTTTACCATACATTATATGCAAGTTGTAATAAGCCATAAAATATTCTGCTGTAATAGTATGCTATATGCGTCGAGCTATATATAATATATATGCAATTATCGCAGAACTGTCGTATAAAAGCTATCGTAAAATTTGAGATAATTAGAAATTAATAACTTAATGAGTTCCAGAAATAGTAAATCTAGTAAATTTGAAAATATGTAATTTAAAATATAATTAAGAATTTTTCTTATTGCAAAATCTTTGCATTATTAATTAAGATTTTCAATTATTTTTTTATTATAAAAGAAAATAACTTAATCAAATTTGAAAATTTATAGTTGCAAGAAAATTTCATACTTCTGGCACACTATATGTATTATACGACGAGTTGTTGGAAAATAAAAAGGGAAAAAAGCTCCGGCAGAAAACAGTGCCACCAAGAATCGCATTGTTTACGTCGCGGCGTGGAAATTCCTTGTCTTTCGAGATTCTCACATTCTCTCAGGGAATCCCGGCGAAAGGGCTGCAAGAATCTCAACTGGGTGAAGTCGGTTAGCCACGTCCCGCGAAGGCCCTTTCGTTTTTCTTATGCTCACTTTTTAGCCAGCCGTGGTTGAAAGGGATACGCGACGGCGGCTTGCCTCGCCGCGAAAAATAGGAGCATCGCACCCCGGGGAGTCGTGCATCTGTTTCCCACTTTGCATAATATTCCCCCGTCGGCCACCGACGATTTCCTCGCTTACCATTCCGGCCGTCTATCTTTCACTTGCGCTCCCTTCACGCAACGGAACGTCTCTCAGCGAGACGGTCAGCTGCCTCGTTGATCGTCGATGGGACGATTTCATGTCCCTTCGGCAAATGACATTTCTGCTGCCCTGGCATTTAACAAAAAAACCTTAATAAACGATGATAAAATCAATAAAATTTTCGAGCCTTAATTTCAATAGGCGATAATATTTGCGTAAATCCAACGACATATTTAGAAATCTGTGTATTTTTTACAATAATAATTAAAGTCAATATTATTCGGCGATATTTTTCTTTTTCAGTTGTCCAATATTAAAAAAAAAAAAAAAAAAAAACATGCTGTATATCAAGTAGGTGTTGTGAAGTATAAACCCCAGTGGTCGGCCGTGTGTTGTAAAAGCAATGCGATAGTACTGAAAAACGGCACCTGTACAGTCTGGCTGTAAATTTTCGAAGTTAACCCGAAACTATTTTGTGCAGACCGGCATAGCGAGAATTTTTTTTACCGCTGAACTGCAACGATAACTTAAAAGTGACGATTTTTGACTCGCGTCACTTGCCGAGCGAACGAGTGAGCGGTTGTATGCGCAGGCTTAGCGGAATTTAATGGATTTTGCCGTGTACACACGTGGGTCATAAATGGGAGCCGATTTATTGCTGCTTCGAGATTAGATTCGCTTCGGATGAGCTTTATCGCTATTGTTTTACGACTTTTCTCCACGATGTCACAGTATGTCGTGCGGATCGGACTACTGTATGAAATGATTTATGCGCGAATGAGTGGCGTGCGAATTTTGGCGCGGCTATAAAATGCATACGAGGTCTATTTGTGCATTTTGCGACACGTCGGTAACAACATTCATTATCTTTTGTATCGCACAAATACGATGACAATGCTTATTTTCCCTTGTTTGTTATCATGAACGCAAGAAAGGAGCTTTAATTGTCAAATGCGCATGAACCTGTATTCTCTCGATTTTGACGTGAGTGAATATTTATTACATGAATATTAACGTATTACATAATAATGTAAAGTTTGCCAAAAATCACGTGTGCAATTTCAAAATATATATGTGTAACATGTAATACATATAAAAATTGAAACTTTTATCGAAAATTATCGTTTTGTAAAAAAGCGACAGAGTTAAGTGAGTCGTTCCAGCGGTTTAACTGAGAAAAGAAAAATCACGAAGATATGCGCATTAAGCATACATCAAGATTTTTAGTTCACTTATTCATTCCGCTACAGCGGAAGCTACGATCCGATGTGAAAAATGTCCCACCATATCCATACCGCGGTGCAAACCTTTTGCCCTTCGTCCATATTTCCCGCGTCGTGTAAAGCACGGTGTAAAGAATCCCGCCGACAGATTCAGCGGAGTTCGATGGATGAAATAGTGTGCATCCGGCGGCGCGCGACGGCGGATTAAAACGAGATGTTTGTTCGATGCAAAAAGTCGGGACGACGCGCGCGAGATACGGGCTGCGGGGTCGCGGGATTAGCGATTTAGTGGGACGAATCGCGGAAAACGCAAACAAAGATGCGTGAGAGGGGCGCGGCGGAAATGCGAAAAGCTGCTCAAGCGTGTTGTTGGTGAGGAAAAAAATCTGACAGCGAAGATACTTTACGAGCTGATCCACGCGCACGGTCGGTCGGCTGCAGCGTGTAAACTCACCTCTGAATATACGGGATGTCCGGCTACTTTATGTCACAACTTTGTAATCTTAGTTCCAAAGTGATATCGAGTTAAAAATGTTACGTAAACACGGATTCAATGCTTACAACAATGTGACATGTCCACCTTCAGCGGACGTAAAAATACAACGACGTGCCTTGACGGACAGATCAATTGCTGTTTTCTTCAATTTTGCTCTTTCGTTTCAAACCATCATACTTTTTATCTACAATATGTTTGTAAATATCTATCACTTCTTTATTTTATTTAGAACTGCAGAATATTTTCTCATGTATTTTCTCTGTATAGAGATCTGCAAAACTTGACTGATCGACATATCATCTGATTAAATATTATCGGATATTATCTGATTCAAACATTTTTGAGATCCGCTACTATAAAACAAAGGTGCAAAGCTTGGAATTGTAACTGTTACTTGTTAATGCAAGCTTTCTCTGATTCTCGCATAGTCCGCATAGTTTCTAAAAATACCGTGCTTGCGGTAAAACTCCCACAGTTCCGTAAAATAAGTCTAGTGTCTTTATTTCGAAATTCCTCTGATAACTGAAATTTCACAAGTCGACTTAATAGAAAGAAAAGCACATGGACCACTGCTCTCTTATCCGACAGGTAGATAACGTTTTAGGACGTGAGAATCACGAGGCGAAATCTCTCTATTGGGTTAACACGGCATCTCCTAAAATATGCATTCGACGGCACATTCTGCTAAAGTAGGTTGAGCCAACGGTAGTGTTGAGAAAATAGGATAACGAGAAGACAAAATGGTCTTATGGCCAGAAAATTTCTCAGCGATATCTCTTCTCAAATAGACAACGATTGACATAGTCAGGATCAAAATTAGCAAGATTAGCAACTCTATAATAAACAGCGAAATTTATTAAGTGAATTTAAAATTAAACATTATGATGAAAGATAAAGGAAATTTTATGGAATTTAACGTAAACAAGAAAATAGTTCAAATATTTACGAATTCTAAATGTAAATAAGAGTAAATTTATATTTTGTTAATAAGTCTTAAAGGAGATGCATTTTCGAGTGAAACAGATAACAGCGCGAAGTTTTTATCAAAATAAATTTTTTTAAAGAATAGGCGATGGAGGAAGATCGCGGAGTGGTGTCCTGGCGCTCTAAAAGGTCGAATCCCGGGGGCTATAACCCATTCAGCTCGATGGTTAAGGCAGCTCCGGGTATAGTTATGAAGAAGTTCCCGTGCGCCGTCTTGTCGTCTTGAAGTCTCGAGTTTTACTCTCCGCTCGTCTTACGTACGGTGTAATCGTATTACATTCATTCCGCGCCGCGTCTGAAATATGCTGTCGGTCGCGAATTTAAAGTTACAAATGGAGATCTCCGGACACCGCAGCCGAGGATAGCGACAGGAACAAAGGGCGGCGATCTCGTTAAACTCTTCTCAGTGGATTCACGGCGGCAAGGAAACTTTTCCGGCGCGAAGAAAAATTTTGCGTTTCCCTCGCTGTCCTTTTTACAAGAAACTCGTTCAAACTATTTCTCTCCGATTTCCATTATCTTCGGATATCCTAAAATAGCTTAACGTAGAGAAAGAGGGAGAATTTTTTTTATACACATTGTTGCAAACCCCAGAAATCTAAGTATCGCGATTCATTTGTGTATATCGAAATAATTTTATTAAGTTAGCTTAGAAGAATTACCGCAATCTTTAAATTGCGAACAATGAAACATGTATAAAAAAAAAGACAATTTCAGCGAATTGAACATTTCTTTTCAATATTCTCACATTTTTTCGCTGGTCTTTGCCTAATTTATTTGTCTCTTTGTTTGCGCAAACAAAACAAAGAGTCTGTTTGATCGCTTTTCCTAAGTTTATCGTTGAACATTCTTCCGCATAGCCTACGGACGCTAAATATAGTTATTCAAAATGGTTCTCGATAAACCGGGACGTTCGATCTGTACACAAAGCACTGACGTTGTCAATAAATTTTCTGTGTACACAATTGCATCTAGTCTTCGGAAAAAAATACTCAACGTCGATACTCAATGTCAGATTGACAGGCTGCTTTTTTTTTAACGTAAAAACGATGTTTTATTAGAAAAATTATTTATAATTTTTTTATATTTTTGATTGTATATTTTGCTCGAAAAATATAGTATCGCTTTATAAAATCGTGCGTGCACAATAGACAATAGTTTATATTTCTTAATCATTTTTTTAAATTTTTTATTTTTGCGCAACACTCATTTATTAACTTTCCATAACTACTTTATGTTCGTAGATTCTCTCGAGTACGTCCTTCGAAGAACGACGGAATCTCTTCACTCTGTCGGACTCGAGAAGATGTGTTCTCGCTGAAGAAAGTAGTTACTACAATCGCTAGTTACCATACATTCGAGCATCCTTGGACAGCGCTGGGATGAAGTTACCCTCGTTCGCTCATAAGGTAAGTTTCAAGACATTGAGTTACAAACTATGGTACGCCCTTGGCAAGCAAAGTTCAATTGGATAGCTCCGGTGAGTAATCGACGGTATCGATGGTGCCCCGGATCACAGAGCGGGAAGCGCATGTTAGACAATCTCGACACGAGTAACATGACGTTTCTCGGTAACTTATCCCCTGTATCGACATGCACGGTTCAATCTGAATAGGCTTACCCCCCGCTGCCTTCCCCTTGCGATTAATGATCCGATCAATGTCGATGAGAGTTTGCGTGTCTCTCAAGGAGAATCTTGGAACTTTAGTGCGAAATTACGGCTAATCTGATCGGCATTCTCTCTGATAGGTATCTTTTTTCATTGACGTCGTATCTCGTCCTTTATATAAGTATCCTTGGAAAGTTTATCTCAAGACGAGATAAAAACCCACCCTGTCACAAATTGTTCGAATTTCTAGCATGACCGTTTATTTTGGATCTTTTTCAAGCAAATTGAAAAGCTCTGCATCATTTTCTCGCGCGTATTTTTCGGAACGCGACTCGGCACGCGTTTTAGAAGCCGTGTGTTTTTTGCGTGGGCGCACGTAACGTCGTGATATCGTTGGAGGAGCGACGCGGATAACGGCGGAACGGATAAAAACTTTATTACGAGGCGGCGTGGTCCGTAAACGTTTTGCGGCTTACACGTGCACGCTGCGCCGCCACGCCGCCTGAACGCGAATGTACGATTAATTAAATTGCATTTTGCCCGCGGATTTCGCGTCGGTGGCGCGTGACCCGATTGCGGAATGTCGTCTCGACAAAGTTCTCGATGGCAAACAATTAGTCGCATCGATCTGCACGCGGCGAGGACAAACGAGGCGCGACGTAATCGCAGGCGAGATAAGATTTTTGAGCAGTTTTGCGCAAACACGTTGGCAAGGACTGTATACACATTTGAGTACGCGCACGGTATAACAATCGAGTATCCCCGTACCTCCTAAAACGTCGAAAAATATCTCTAAGTATTTCCGTTTTGAATCAAAATTAAAATATATACACAGAACAAAAATTTTCTTCTTGGAAAATAGTAATTTTCGGATGTGCATTAAAATTTATATAATATTAGCTGCATAATTTCAGAAACATTATTATTTTAATAGTTTTGTTAGGTAACGGATTATATAAGAAATGTTTATTTTAAAAAGATAACACGCTGGGTAAATGTATAGTGTACACAAATGATGCCCGGATCGACAGTTGATTGTTTTATAAACAATTAAATAACCGCTGTTGTACATTTGGTAAATTTAATAATAGTTTACGTGTGTATCTATGACGTATCGGGAGGAAGACTAAACAATTTAAATCGTTTATAGTACAAGTTAATCCTGCGGAAACACGGCCGCGTCGGAACGCATTATCACGAAACGTATGCTGACGCAAAACGCGCGGGCGTTTATGGGATCAAGTGGTGTAATCAATTTACACCAATTTCATTATCGTCCGCTACTCGGCGGTAAATTAATTATTTGCGATACTGATTTAATTGGGCCACGATAAAATCGCCGATTAATTTATGCGCGCGAATACTTGGCGCACGCCTGCGCCGCAATCTCCCGGTAAAATCGTTTTACGCGAGAGAAAACGGACGCGTTTTATGGATCTCGTACGAAATTCGCAAAGGTACACACGGCTGTTAGTTCGAGAACGTTATACTTCCCGCTGGGAAATCGGTAAAGTGGCGCGTTTTCACAAAGTTAAAACGAAAACTTTTTATGCCAAATGAACAAGGTTATTCGTTTGAAGATAAAACGCGTTGCCGTTAATAAGTTTCACTTCCGATTTAACACTTTGTTTCCTACGAATACGCTTCACGGACTGACACAACAGCTGAAATCAGCCGCGGTATCAAACAGTGGCGATTAGCATTAAAATAGAGGCGTTGAATTGAGGCGAGAATACGCTCCGTAATCGCAAAGGACACGCCGCTGTGCAATAACGTCGTCTGCTCGGCTGAAATTGAAACAAGAAGGAAGCCGGCGGAGAGAAAGAGAAATGCCGTTCTAGCTACTGTCGTGTTACGGCCGATTTTACATGCCAAACGCAAAGAAAGAGAAAGAGAGAAGGAGAAAGAGAGAGTGAAGAACGCCCGTAGTAAATACGCGAGTAACGGCTTTATGGCCGGGAACATCTTCTGTCCGCTGTGAAATGTTGCTCGGTGCGGAGTCACGTTTCGGAGTACCTTTTTGGTTCCGGATATACGTTGCCAGCTGCACTTCGGGACCACTTTATGTGGCGCGATTCATCATAATGCTCTTCCCCTTCCTCGAACGGTGTCTTTATCGGACGGGCGCGCATATACACTGTAGATATGATTCCTCGTCATCTTTCTTCACGCATGGCCGTACGCGCTAAAGTTACTCTCGTCTGCGATTCAAAATAGACGCGATATATCAGTTATCTTTCTTCCGAAGAAACTTGAAAAATATCAGAGTCAAGAGTAAGCGGACCGAGCAGAAACATGTTTCCGAAGTGCAAACGAATCGAGAAATTGCATCTTTTTTTCTTCAATAAAATATTATTTTTATTAGCAATACTATCTTTTCAGTTATTCACAATTAACAAACATGGATTAAAAGTGTAATTATTAATAAGGTGTTAAAACATTTCAAGACAAAGAATAAACATTTATACATTGTATATATTATAAATTTTTATTATAATTATAATGATAAAAAATTCTATTTGTGTTTGCATTTAAACTGAAATAATTTACTCGAAATAATGAAAGCGTGCTGCTCATTACCGAACGATTGCAGGCAAGCTTCATTCCATTGTACTTTCCAGCAATATTGGATGAAGTAGATTAATTATTTCAAAACAATGGTGCATGGCCCAGAGTGTTGTAACAAATTTAAATCGCTGCTAATGACGTTTCTTCGTGAATAATTTCTATTTACGTACGTACGCAACTGCAAATTGTAGCGTGGTATTGGGTCGGTGCATCATTTACGAGCGGACGGTGAAATGACGAAAATTTCGATGACGCCAGCAGGCTTCGTGCAAACTTTCGAGAATAAAAACCGCAATTTTTTTTAAATTTAAAATTGAAGCAGTTATATAAAAAATTCTAACCCAGTAGTTAGGTTTCGTTTAATAAAGTTCGTGCTTTCTATGAGACACGATGAAGCTCTGTTCAGTTGGAATTTTTGATAAGACAGAAAATATCGCGGTAACAATTAAAGAACTTATCAATTGTTATTCAATGCATTTTCTCAATCAGTTGCCGTCGTGAATTGTCAGGTCACGCTTGAAAAACGGGCATCAGAAATGCTCTAATGGTGTAATGTCATTTCGTGGCTTGGGATTAAACGCGTGTGTTCCATATCCGGTTATACAAAGCTGATTTCATAAAACTGATTTCATTTTATGCATCAATATTTAAATCATTTCCTCTCGCTTTAAATTTTCAAACAGAATGGTTACATTGCAATTCAAAGAACACGTTATTGAATTTTGACGCAAACATCACCCCGTATATTATTCTTCTCTCTATTTCCGTGTTCAGAAATAACTGCTCCTGGGCCGCGTTATTGATTTACTTTACGTAATACGCCTCCTTGACCGTTCGTAAAATTCAGACTTACGCTCCAATTTCTTCCCTCTCATAACACGTTCCCTCGGGACTCCATTCTACCCCCCGAGGTCATCACATTTTTCTGACCCATCTTACTGTCACTTTGGGATCACGAAGATCTGCGTGAGCGACCCGGTGAGGCTAATGCGACCCGGCTGTATCGTGGAGAAGAGAGCGAGAGGATGGTTAATGGGCGGTGGAAAAACAAAAGGACGTCGGATGGAGCGCGACCGAGCGAGGTTGGTGCGCGCGGGTGGGAGCGCGAGCCCGTTCGTAAAACAAACCTTCGTCGCGCCGAGTGGTGGATGCTTTTAGCCGACGCGATGCAATGCGGCATAAAGAGCCGGGATTGAATTTCTCGTGACACGGCCGTTCCTGTTGTGCCTCTCGCGGCTGACAAAAGTGGAATTTAAAACCGCGGTCTATATTTTGACCTGAAATTCGACCGAGGAGGAGGGGGGGGGGGTTGAAATGTCCGACAACTGAAGCCCGACAACCGTCCTCCCCTTTTCGCCGGAATCAAATGCCAATTGCAATGCCGAAGTGTGCGCAAATTGACCGAATTTGATTAGAAATCTCCGTGTATCCACCGTTATTGCTTCATTCCGCCTGTAGTGTTTTTAGAATATATACAGGAATTATCTGCTTGTGACAACCGCATCATCGGGCCGCGACGTTCCGAACGGCTCTTATTATCCTCATATCATCGCGCGCTAATTGGTATTCTCTGACGTGCGCGTAATTAGCACAATCCGAATTTGTTGTGGATTTTATAATTAACATGTCATTAGTTTTATAATTTCCCTTTGAAACGTCGTGTCGTGTATTAAATTAAATCCGCGTGACGCTGCAATTTCGAAGTGCGTATTGCAGGATATATCGAATCCACATACCGGGTGTCACCGAGGACACGGAAGAGAATCGATCGAAAACTTCGTGCTCCCCGTCACGTGCTGGATAAAGCTGTAATATAGAGCGGCGGGCATCTGTGTTTAGTTTTCCGGAGCGGTTTCCGCGTCGATTACAGACAAGACGAATCGGAGGCGTGACGCGGGACATTTGTTTATTCCCGCACGACATCTATTCTCGTTCCCGCCCGTCGCCGTCGCGCGTCGTGCGGCACGGCGGAATTTCAAATCAGTCCATTTGGACCCTCCGCGGTCCCCGGAGTGTCTCGCAGGAAGTGGCAAAGTTCAAACCCGTGTCCGACGGTATAACTAGTTTCCCTTTCGAAGATTGGATGACTTCTGCCCTCTTACCGAGGTCGTGCCGATAATCTTCTACGTTACCGATGACAATACTGAATACCGAAAACGGACACGTGACTTGACGTATTAATGAAAGACACGTGCGCTCCTGCAATCGTGACATTTCCGCTCGTAGCATTAA